AAAAAAAAAAAAAAAGAATGACTTCATTTTGTGATTCACATTTTTAGATTTTAGACATTACCAATGTTCCAGCTCTTAATTTCTTTTTTTTAGGTCTTTTTTTAGTGTTTATTTATTTTTGAGAGAGACAGAGCAAGTGTGAGCAGGGGAGGGGCAGAGAGAGAGGGATACAGAGGATTCGAAGCAGGCTCCACGCTGTCAGCGCAGACCCCAACGCAGGGCATGAACCCATGAACCGGGAGGCCATGACCCAAGCCGAAGTCAGACGCTTAACCAACTGAGTCACCCAGTCGCCCCTCTCATTCTTAATTTCTTATCTTTAAGGAACTTTTAGATAAAACCATCTTTTGGGATTCAGAAACACAATAGTTAATTCTCCCTAAATAGCAACATTATAAACATAACCTAACTACATAGCCATTAACATAGTTTGTAGGTATTAAAAAGTCCACCTACTTCTTTGTATCTTTCATAATGCCTGCCCAGAACTAGTACAATAGTACATGAAACAAACTCAGTGTACTGCTTGTTAAATGACTAATGGAAAATCTGGCTGTATTCGTTGTTTCCCAGAATGATAATGCTAATACTTTAAAAAATTATATTATTCACTACATCACAAATTATTTTATCTTTTTGCCAGAATTTAGAACATTACTCACCTTTGCACTTCGGTGAGTATACTGAGCAACTACTCGGGACAACAGAGACCAAAGAGCAGGATCAGCTGGGTTACTACAGAGATAATCAAAAGCAGAAGGCTTAGAGATGGGAGACACTATAACCACAAAACGAAAAAGTAACCAACATTTTATTTAGTACCTAAGTTCAAAATCTTGTCGACATCTAAAACAAGTTCATATTGTCTATGTGTGAATGAAAGCGCCTTAATTTTTAGAAAACATATCTCCTATATACATCAAGAGTCCTTATGAAAATAAGAGGGGAAATCAGTAATACGATGATTACAAAGCCATGAGACTAAGAAAAGCTAAGGAAATTTAATATGTTGTGTTCAAGGAAAACACAAGATGAAAAGTGTGGAAGGAAAACAAACTACATTTACAACACTTTACTACAGAAAATAAAACAAATAACTACTCTTACTAGTAATAACAGCTATCTATTTTCTAAATTTTGAAGACATTAATGAATGTTTGAGTGGCCAAAAAATTCCTAAGACCATCAAAGTGGGCAGTATCAGATAACAAATGGGCAATACCACAAGCTTAAGCATAAATAAGGGCAAAAATAAATAAATGAAAGAATAAACAAGGGCTTCTGTATTAAAATGAGGTTCAGGCCTTAACCTAAGTGCAAAATTTCTGTTCTCTTATCTCCTTATCAACTGAATTAAAAAAAAATATTTATAGACGAAATAATGTGTATAGTTAGTTACCTGGTCCTAAGTGCAGTTTCATAAAACCACATTCTGGCTTTCAAATACATATGTTTACCTGATTTTATATTTATATTTATATTCCCAATGTCAAAGATCAGCTCATCAAGTATAGTTATTCCAAGTTCACAAGCACAGAACTTACCTGTGAACAGCTTTAGATGCTTGTCTCTGCACTGCCACACTGCGGCCTTGCAGTGCATAAATTGCTGAAGAAAGAAGGCACTTGTGATAATTACTGTCTTTCTGTTTGATGTGCTTCAGTAATTCATTAAGCGCCGCTTTTGACAGTGTAGGATCCTGCATTGTCAATCCTAGAGCACACAAGGCTTGAAGGCTTTCTGTGGTTGGTTCCTTTAAGATAGAGCTGTAAACATTTTTAATTGTCTATTAGCCAAAGTACACTAGTCTGTAAGTATTAAAACATATTTAACATTTAGTAAAAAAGCAATTTACTTAAAGATTCACCAAACTAAGTTCAAATTTAAGATAAACATAAAACAGATTCCTTGGCTTCTAGGGACAGCAATTTCCCTGAATGTCTAAAGCATTAAAAATACCAAGAGCTTTCCACAGTGCAACAGCCAAATTTCTTTTCTGTTCATTATATCTAAGTTTTAGAAACAAGTACAAATAGCGTTTTGTGGTTTGAGTTTTAGATAATTAACCATATAACCATGTAAATAACCATAGATACCATAGGCTGTTATTTTATTAATTTATTCAAAAAATATAGAAATAGGTACAAGTTATATTGGTATAATTTTTCTATTTTTATTTATTATTTATTTTTTTAAATATTTATTTATTTTGAGACAAAGAGGGAGAGAGAGTGTGAGCACGGACGAGGCAAGACAGAGGGAGAGAGAGAATACCAAGCAGGCTCCATACTCAGCAGAAGCCTGATGCAGGGCTCGAACTCATGATCATGAGATCACAATCTGAGCTGAAATCAAGAGCTAGACACTTAACCAACTGAGCCACCCAGGCGCCCCTGCTATGATTTTTTTTTTAAGTTTTAATTTTAAATGAATTTTATTTTATCAGGTTAACTTGAAAAAGAAAGAGAAAGAAATCTCTTTGGGGACCAAAGAGGCCAACAAAAAAAAGCCAGTTAGAAATGCCTTCATTAAAGATTTAACATCTTATTAGATCAAGTGATCAATTGCTCTTTTTTTTTTTTTTTTATGTTTATTTTTGAGAGAGAGAAAGAGTGGGAGCGGGGGAGGGGCAAGAGAGAGGGAGACACAGAATCTGAAGCAGGCTCCAGGTTCTGAGCTGTCAGCAGAGAGGCCGATGTGGGTGGGGCTCAAACTCCCAAAGCGTGAGATCATGGCCTGAGTTGAAGTGGAAGCTTAACCGAGGCCCAGGAGCCCCTCGATTACTCTTTAAACAAAAAAATAATACACAGAGAGTACAGGATGCTTTTGAAGGACTGGATGGATCCAGAGCTAAGAATTAAGCCATGATCTCTAGCTCCACCTATGATTTTCAGTTCACAACTGGTTCAGTCCCATCTTTTTTGTTCACCAAAAAGATCCAACATTAAAAGCCTCATTTTACATTGTTCCAATTTTTAATCCAATGTTTAAGTTATCTGGTCTCGTTAAGTGGTGATGTCAACCATACATACCATTTAAATAGCAATGTCTTGGCTACATCCATTTTTCCTTGTTTATACTCTGTTATTGCTAGAGCTGTCAAGATATGCGCTTTGTCCTGCTCTGATTCAACAACAGACAAGGCTCTCTCATAGGCTATTACACAGAGTTGGAAACAGAAACAAAACAATATAAACACAATTTTGATTGACAAATAGTGAAATTTCTCCCTTTCTAATCTTACTTTTTAAAGGTCTAACTATAATTACATGTTATTGTTTCCTTATTTTCAAGTGGACAGAACAAACATTTATAATAATCTAACTTGGTTTATCTGGCCCAAGGTGATACTGGGCATATCGTTAGGATTATTGTGGGACATTCCCCAACTTCTATCTTTACAGGGAAGTCTTTAAGAGATGTGAAGACTTGTAGCCAATGACATATCATGAAAATTCTCACATGCATACCAGTAACTCCATCAAGCTGTAGATACTTAAAATGAGCTGCACACACATAGATTGGGTCTTTATATACACATGAGAATGTACTCAATAAGCATTTCTGGAGAAAATAAAACACACTATTACTAACAACGGTTAAGGTCTTCATTTATCAGAAATTTACACTTAAGCAAAGACCTGCTTTCAGGTGGTAACGCGTATTTCTACCTTAAGTGATCTTTGGCTTCAGTTTCCTCATGTAAATAATAAAGATAAATACTCAGCTCATTACACTGCTATAAGGCCTATTCATCAAAATAATGTATTAAATAAGGAAACAGATAAAAAGTACCTAGTGTCATTCCTGGTTACTAGTCAGATTTAAATAAACATTGCAAGTCCTGTTCCCATTTCAATGTTCCATCTTTCTATATGTAAGTTTGTTGTAATTAAATTCCACTCAGCCCTAGAAAAGTAAGATGTGTCCTTTAGCATCAAGCAACATACTCACCTTTGCTGCTTTCCTTATATAGACCTTTCATAAATAAAGCCAATGCAAAACCTATGATGTCTTCTAACTCTTCAAGAGGTGTTGACTTAAAAGCCTGGATAGCTTTATCATATTCACCAATGGAACTAAGAAGCAAAACATAACTTACTTTTAATATTAAATTTTTTTTTGGTTTACATCATAAAAATACAGAGAGATACTAAGGTTCTTTTAATACCTTCACCTACCTCATCTATCACTGTTAAGGCTATAGAAAAGATAAAATAAAAGGTGTATTGTTTATTTCAAATAAGATGTACTGGGGTAATTTAACTTCAAAATTTGCTTCCTTTAAATTACATGTGAAAGTGATCAGTTTGGCTAAATTACAGAGTCTTTCTTATTAACGAACTTGAACTAAAATCCCAAGTTATAAAAATAATTTCAAGTTAACTTCTATACAGAACTCTTTAAGCTACATATGTGGGTTGAACATTACCCTAGGAGTATTGTCTGAGCATCTTTGACAAGCTTAACTAAAGTCATAAAATACCTAGTCAAAATCAAACCTAGCCTTTGTGTAAAGTGTTTCCCTGCACATCCCTTTTTTTTTTTTTTTTGGAAGTATAAAGATACACTAAATTCCACAGACAAAACTATAGATTACCTTTTCTGTATTATTTAATAGGAAGAAAAGTAAAACTTGTTACATATGATAAAAGTACAATACTTTTTAACAACAAAAAAATAATTGTTTTGCTTATTTAAAGATGAAGAGAAGCTGCCATCACCTGGAAATGATACACTGTGTCTTTGAGATTCTTATTTTTGGTATCCATCACTATAATCACAAGCTGTTTCTATTTTTAATGTGTTATTGGAAATCTTTTTAGAAAATCCTTTTAATCTTGAGGAGTGTGTGTGGGAGCTAAAAATACAATCTTTGGTTCTAAAATTAGTTCTCATAAAGGTGAAAGATTTTAAAAAGCAAAAAAATTTAAGGTTTTTAAAATAAAAAAAAAACCCTCAAATTTTGCTAAATATTTTGATGAAGGAAAGAGGGCTACCTTAAATTGTTCATGGATATATACATATACTAATTTTAAAAAAACACTATCTTCAAACATGTGATTACTTTTGTAGAGAAAAGAATAGAACTAGAAAGGGCACAAGGGGCTTCAACTTGTAAATTTTTCTTTGGGAAGAGAAAAAAAAAAAAAAAAAAAAAAAAAAAACACCCTAAAGACAATGGACAATTTTAAGATCTGTTATATTTGAGCAGTGACTATTCATTAAATTATGTTCTATACTACTTACTGCATTTTGCATGTTTAATGTATTTCATAATAAAACAAATTAAAAAGATGATCTATTTTCAATAGGAGATAGAGATTTTCTTCTAAAATATTTACATTACATCAAAACTAAAGAGAACAGATACTTGTTCCATATAATTTCTTATAACCTATCTTCTGCTACAACAAAATCTTAGAAATAACAAAACTCTATCAACTCCTAAACAAAACAGTTTAAAAGAAATGGAAGGAAGAGCAGTCAGAACAATAGTATTTTCCTGTCTATGGATATTACTCAGTTACACAAATATAAAAGAAAATAACTGGCTACCTCAGATCTCTAGCATGTATCTCTTTAAAAGATGTAGGCACTAATCTCAAAATATCAAACCACAGTTCTGATCATTCAATTTGGGGGCAGTTTTCAGCTTGAGGAACACCTCTCTAACTGAAGCCAAAAACCTTCCCCCCACTGCCCCATAACACTTCTGTTCTCCAGACCTAATTCTATTCTCTAAAATACCTAGGTTTTAATCATTTTTTAAAAATTCTTTTCCAGTCAAAAGTCTTTGAGAATCTGAAAAAGCTATACAGCTCTCTCTCCATCCCAAAATATACATACACAAAAAATTTTTTGCACAATTTTATTTTTTGAATGTTTATTTATTTTTGAGAGAGAAAGAGTGAGAGCATGAGCAGAGGAGGGGCAGAGAGAGAGGGGGAGACACAGAATCTGAAGTAGGTTCCAGGTTCTGAGCTGTCAGCTCAGAGCCCAACACAGGACTCGAACCTATGAACCACGAGACCATGACCTGAGGAAGCTGGATGCTCAACCGACTGAGCCACCCAGGAGCCCCTTTGTAAAATTTTAAAAGGGCTTTTTTTTTTTTTCTTTTTTGATGGAAGGAAAGAGGGCTGGCTACCTTAGATTGTTTATGGATACACACATATATTATTTAATACTAATTTATTTAATATTAATTAAAAATTAATGAAATATATTAATTTATTTAAGGTATGTAATACATACATTAATACATATATTAATGGATCTCTAAAGTCCATTCCCAGTGTAAATATATATAGCATGCAAATGAGAATAAGTCCAATTTCTCTTCCAATTAACAAGGGTTCTACTATACAGACAGCAATGCCTCTCTCTGAAATGTTCTCTTGTATAGTCCACAACCATCAGTTCTAAATCTGCTTCTCACTAAAGCACAGTGCCATTAGGTACCATTAGAGGAACAGGAAAGTATTAACAGAGCCCAGTATTGAGAAGATTATATATCCAGCGGACATAATCATCAGCCCACTCATTTCTACATGTTCCATTACTCTGGATTCATCACTACCTCACTAGTCCCATAGCTTTCACCAGAAAAGTCTGACAGATTCACAGAATTAATGGGGAGAAAATATGCTTACCATAATAATCTGCCATAATTTCTTACTGTAACATTATAAGTATCTTGGTCTTCCACACTTTGTAACAATAACATTGCCCTGGAAAAAAAAAGGGGGGGGGCAGGTATTTTAAATTAGCTCTGTGAAACAGCATTCTTTTACTCTTCTTCTTTAACTGAATCTACAGATTCTTGTTTTCTTCATTTCATTCACCTAATTCTTTAATGTCAGCTATAACAACTTTTTCATATATTAATAAGTTGGTACACCAAAAACACTTAATATGTAGATTTTAGACTATCAGGAAAGGAACTTGAATAAGGTGATCTCTTATTTAGTGAAATCATTCATCACACGTGAGTTTTAAATATTCCAAAAAAACTTAATCTAAATACAGGAAACAATGGTATCACTATTTTAAGTTTTGACATTAACTCAAGTATACAGCAAACAATCTTAAAAATATTTATATACTAGTGGTTTAAGTTAGGAAGCCAGGAAATTGAGTGCTTTCATGTGCACTTACCTTTTACATATAGAAAAATATTTAAGCAATACTTAGTTAAGAAAGAAAAGATTTATCAGGAGTCCCTAAAGGCTTAGAATATATACATCAACACGTGACATGTCTCATTTTTATCTTGTGTTCAGTCCCCTTTGGGAAAGCAGAAAAATGTCTTAACAACTAATAGGAGTTGGATACTTAGTAAGATTTTTTTGTTTTTTTTTAAATTTTCTTTTCTGTTTAAAAAGGATGATCTAGGGAGAAACACTCAAGTGATGTTACATGAAAAACAAATATTTGCCAAAGAAGTCTAAGGCAGTATTACACATTATTATACTATACTATACTATACTATACTATACTATACTATACTATACTATACTGGTTAGATTTATACCTAATTTGTGGTTTCAAGCCTCAAATACTTGTCTAAGGCAGAAAACAACAGCAGTGATTGGTCAAGGAAGACTGGTGCATATCCACATGACTGTGGAGTTGCTATTTTAACTTGAAGGCGTAACTAGTTGTTAGATTCACACTATTTGTGATTAGAGTATATACAATAAAATGGCAAGCACTCTGAAGTTAATCATCTTTGTTTAAAAATCCTGCTCACTGTTGTATTCTACCATATTTCTACAATTTGTTTATATTAAGCTTATCATGCCATTGAAAGACACAGAATTGTTGCTTTTCATGAACTTCCACATATACCTTTAAAAAAGAACTTCTTGGGGCGCCTGGGTGGCTCTGTCGGTTAAGCGTCCGACTTCGGCTCAGGTCATGATCTCACAGTTCGTGAGTTCCAGCCCCACGTCAGGCTCTGTGCTGACAGCTCAGAGCCTGGAGCCTGTTTCGGATTCTGTGTCTCCCTCTCTCTCTCTCTGCCCCTCCCCTGCTCATGCTCTGTCTCTCTCTGTCTCTCAAAAATAAATAAATGTTAAAAAATAAAAATAAAAAATAAAATAAAAAAGAACTTCTTGATTATATAGCCTCCAGTACCATCTAGTGATAACCCCTTTGAACTGCCAGGAGATCCATGAAAGAGCATGGCAAAGCATTTGGGACACCTCAATGACTTTGTGTATGACAAAGTTTCTTCTAAGTACCTATTTTTTACTTTTCAGGCAATGATACATGCAGTTATGTCTTTTAACTTTTCAACTAGTATCCCCAACAGTGTCATTTTTTTATTCACCCATCAATTAATCTGCAGAGAATAAACCTGCAAGTCGATTTCATTGCCTACCACCCTCTTGGTTGGTCATTTCACTGGAGCACACGGTCCTTGTTTTCTCAACACGGCAAGTGCATTCCTGTTTCAGAACACGTGCTCTTGCCTTTCCTCTGCCTGGAATGCTGTTGCCCTCTTGAATGGCTTATAGCCTCACTTCATGCAGGCCAAGCCTCAACTGCCTCTTTAGTAAGCCTATGCTTGTTAAACCTGTCTCAAATTCACTGCCTGCCTTAACACTCCCTGGCCCTCTACCCCATTTTGATTTTCTTTCTTAGCAATTACCATCACAGATGTCTATAAGCTTATGATATGTCTCCCCACCACCAGGTCAGAAGCTCCATGAAAATGGAGGCTGCATCTGTTTTATTTCACTGCTCAATTGCTAGTGTCAAGGACAATGTTTGGCACACAGCAATTCAAAAACTGTATTGAAAGAATAAAATACAGTAGATCTTAAAGCGATTCAGACATATAATGTTCTCATTTCTTCTCTGAATGAACCTACACATTTTTAAAATAAAGAGAGAGATTTTTTTAAAACAGAATCTGGGAGACTTTTCAGTTTGATTTTTGTTTTTTCTCCTGTCTGTCTCTCTCGGATAGAGCAACAGAAACCAAAATATAGCTGAAAATTTAAAATTGAATTTTTAAAAATGTAATGATAGATAATTAGAGATCAGGAAAGGAATCAGAACATTTGTGTAGCACCTTCTTCATGAAATGAAAACAAATTTTAAAAAGCCAAGTGATAAGTACAGACGACTCTTAATTAAATGTAGAGTTTACCTTTGGTATGCACCTGCTGCTTCCTTTCTCAGTTGTAGATGTTCATTTAAGTAACCCAACATTGTGAAAGCTGGAGCATAATTCTGAATTCTTTCTGGAAATCCAAAAATATCTTTTCTTTACATGTGCATGTTGATCGTATTTGTAAAATGTGAGTCTTATTTTCAATGCCTTTAACACCAGATTACTTCCTGAGATCACAGCTATTAAGAATGGTCTCATTTTTATCTTGACTATAAAGTACTAGTAATCATTTTATAACTGTTTTAAGTTATTGAATATTTTATAATTATTTATAGTTTCTCGTTATGCTTAAAGTCTAAACATTTTTATCCCCAAAGGTGTAATAATTTCAAATTGTAGCTTATATTAACACTAGTCATGAGATTCATAAGGAAATTCAGTTTTTTGGCTAATCACTTAATCTTTCCTGCAATTTTCTTGGTGGTTTGCTTCCAATTTCTATGTGTTTTTAAAAAATTCACTCAGTGTTATACACTGGAAACACGGGATGACTTGGGCACTTTCAGTGCGGAACTTTGAAATTTTAATGTCAAAAAACATCATCTATCTACTAATGCACAAAGAAGAAACACATCTGATTTATTTAAAAGCAGTATTGAGAGGGGTGCCTGGGTGGCTCAGTTGATCAAGCGTTCGACTACGGCTCAGGTCATGATCTCGTGGTCTACAAGGTCAAGCCTTGGTTGGGCTCTGTGCTGACAGCTGACAGTCTGGAGCCTGCTTCAGGTACTGTGCCTCCCTCTCTCTCTGCCCTTCCCTGCTCATGCTCTGTCTCTCTGTCTCTGTCTCTGTCTCTCTCTCAAAAATAATTAAACATTAAAAAACTTAAAAGTAGTATTGGGAAACAAACCATCACTTAAAATCCCTTAAAATTGCTTAACAAAGTACAGTATAACCACAATTTATATGATAGTTAGGCTCTAACGTCAAAGCATAAAGTGAAAATCACATAATCAACCTTATTCTTGAAAAATCCTAATGTCACAAAAGAGAGGAATACCAAAACTGAATCACACTAAAAAGAGATTCATGCCTTCCAAGTACACTCACCCTAAGGCAAATTGTCAGCCAGACAAATAGATACGACTCCACTCTAGGGTAAAAAACCAGACTACGCATAACTGTCAGGGAATTATGTGTTCATTGTTCTAGGGATCCAAATTTTGTAGAAAGGTAAATATTTACCCCTGTGTAAATTCTTTATAAATGTTACCCATTCTTACAGAAATTTATCAATAAAACTTCTGATCCATACACTCTCACAGAGGCTCTAGATATTTATTGGAGTCATTCATTTTGGGAAATGGCATAAGATATTAGTGCTCTGATGTGCTTATGTTTATAAACTAACTGCCTTCTGCTCAAGTATCCCAGGCTCAATGCAGGAAGAGTATTACAATCCTCTCCATACCTATGATGAGAAATTTTCTCTTCTGCTTTTCAGTTTATCTGTTTCTTCATAATACTAAACTGCCCATATGCCTGCTTAAACTTCTTTCTTCTTTATTAGAATTTCTCAAGGGATAAATAAAAGGCTAGCAAAACTAACATTTCTTGAGCATCCAGGGTACTTTGCATATCATTTTGTATAAATCATCCCATTTAAACTCTAAGCAATAGATGTTTTTATTCTTGTATTACAGATGAGAAAACTAAAATCCAATTCGGTAATATGACCAAGGTTTCATCATAGCTAAGAGGAGGAGCAGAGACTAAAAGCCACTGGTGGTTTTCCACCCCCCACCTCCCATGACCACAAGTGCATTCCTTAATTAATCCACATCACCTGTCTCACCCATTCACCCACCCACATTCCCTATGGTAACCATCAGTTTGTTCTGTATAGTTAAGAGTGTGTTTCTTGGTTTGTCACCTCTCTTATTTTTTAAACTTTGCTAGTTTGTTTTGTTTCTTAAATTCCACATATGAGTGAAATCATATGGTATTTTTGGACTTATTTGACTCTACTGACTTATTCTTTTTGGACTTACTTGACTCTTTTGTCTCTATTTGACTTGTTTCATTTAATTTGACTTATTACACTCTAGCTCCATCCATGTTGCTACAAATGGCAAGATTAAACTGGTAATAAAACTAGTAGTTTTAGTAAGGAAGAAAGGAAAATTTTACAATAGATGGTTAATGAAACTTCACCATTCTGTCCTTTTCCTAAGGCTACATGTATTTTTCCAGTATTCTGAAGAAAAATCAGGTGTTAAAGTGGGAGATTAAACACACTAATTTTGGAATTTAAAGCATATTATCTCATTTAATTTTCACACCTCTACCATCTAGATATTATTAACTAACTCCACTTTCCAAGGTTAATAGAAGTTAAAAGAAGTAAAATCCTTGGCCTAAGACTGTAGAGAAATAAATGGCAGAGATAGAACAGCAACAACTCAGGACCATTACACTCCAAAATGCTTTCCACTACAACATGGAAATCAGTTTTATTGTGATCATTAGGTAGCAGCAATTTTCATCACTCTTCAAAAGGCCTTACACATTTTGAAAAGGAGACTGACCATTGGAGAAAAAAAAAAAAAGCAAATTCATGTCTTAAGGAACACTAATATTTTACTTGGAATTAACTAATTTTAAAACTTCTTTCAACTGTTTCAACAATTTATTCAAATACTGAGTTATTCAAATATTGAATACCTTACCTATGTATTTACTCAAAACAACTTGTGCGGCTGGAATAGCATTCATCTGAACGATATTGTACCGGTACAGCTCAGTATCTCTGTTGCTTTTATCTTGCAATGTTGTACAGACCCAATAAGCATAACCTATTGCTCCCTCGGTCTTTAAAAATGACAAAGTTAACAAGTGAATATAAGATAATAAATATACCAATAAAAATTATAAAACAGCAAGTTTCAATACAGTAAATATCACATCTTAGTCTTAAGTCAACTGCAAAGTGTCTCTAATTAAAGAGTCACTGTGATGCTCAGAGCATATTTAAATCACTTGCTTCAACCCTAAGTAGGAGAATCACATGTGATTAAATAAAGGGCAAAAAAACAGAGCCCCACCTAATGGGTTGATATCCTTCTCTAAGCACCATTTTTAGAGATTAAACCAATAATTACCAAAGGAGTTCTAAAACACATTTGTAAATAATCAAGAAATGCCAGCCTACTCCTTATCTCATGTTGATTTTTCTCTAGGGTCTCAGTTTCTATTCTAAATGACTACTGTATCTATTGAATCCCATGTCATTTCTTCCTGAGCTTATGAAAGATAACGCAAGATGAAAATGAGAAGTTCTTTAAAGATAATTTCTAAGATAGAATAAAGAACAGAGACAACTGCTGTTATCAACATCTGATACCACTCTATTCGTTTTCTTAACAAGAATAATACTTTATTCATGAATGAATCCTCAATAATGTTCAAATTCTTACATGCATACTAAGCTCTGTAGTGTGCCTGAAAAGATCCATGGTGTCATAACTTCCAACTGTCTCTGCGATAAGAGCCTATAAAAGGAAAAAAGAGGTTCTTAAAGTGAAATTATTTGGCAGAACCAAAGGTTTACTAGCTGTGCTTCAAAGCACAGCTAATTTCTTTTCCAATCTTGGCTACTACATTCCCATGGCTCAGAGGACCAGAATAACTTGTCAAATTGGCCCTTAAACTGACAAATGCTTTCCGAATTCCCTCTGCAACCAGGCAGTGGTGCAATAATCCACATAAAATTCCTCAGAACACTGATAAAGCTGTGCTACCTTCTCCCTTCCCTTTCACCCTTGATCCATTCATACTGGTATTTGTCTGGACTGGGGTTCTTAATCACACGATCATCTTGGATTCACCTGGGTAAGCTTTTTAAAAAAGGAAGTCCTTACCTCTAGATTTCTAGTTTCCACAGACCTGGAGTACAGTCTCAACATATTTATTTTTCAAAAGTGTGTCAGGGATTTAAATAATATACCTATGCCTTTAACTTTATAGACTATGAGATAAAAGTACTTTCAAGCTCCTATATCTTTTATTTAAAAATCAGGGTTTTTTTAGTTATCATACATTACTAATATTATTAAAAAATTAATATAAAGTCTCACTTCTGTTGTTACCATTTTGATTAAATCTACCAGTTAACTCTTGAAATAAATTATTTTTAGATAAAAAGAACTGAAGGGTGCCTGGGTGGCTTAGTAGGTTGAGCATCCGACTTCAGTTCAGGTCATGATCTCACAGTTTGTGGGTTCAAGCCTCATATCAGGGTTTGCACTTGCAGCATGAAGCCTGCTTCTTTTTTTTGTTGTTTTTTATTTTTATTTTTTTCAACGTTTTTATTTATTTTTGGGACAGAGAGAGACAGAGCATGAATGGGGGAGGGGCAGAGAGAGAGGGAGACACAGAATCGGAAACAGGCTCCAGGCTCTGAGCCATCAGCCCAGAGCCTGACGTGGGGCTCGAACTCACGGACCGCAAGATCGTGACCTGGCTGAAGTCGGACGCTTAACCGACTGCGCCACCCAGGCGCCCCTGGAGCCTGCTTCTGATTGATTCTCTGTCTCCCTCTCTCTCCATCCCTTCTCCACTTGCATACACACACTCTCTCAAACATAAACATTAAAAAAAAAGAATAAAATACTTCAAAAATTAAAAAAAAGAATACTAGGTGGCTCTGATTAGCATCCAAAATCTACTGGTCTAGAGCAGTGCTACTCAGAGTCAAGTCCCTGGAGCAGCATCAGCATCATCACTTGGAAGCAGTTAGAAATGCAAATTCTTGGGCCTCCTGCATCCAACTTACACAGAGATTAGTAGTAATGCCGTTAGCTCCCAGATGCTAACCACAATTCATAGAGAAAGGAGTTACTTTTCTAACTCTGCTTGCTTCACCAATTAACTAGAATTAGATCCAAGAGTCAAAGGTAGAATAAAAGATTCTAAACTCTGATGGCTGATTTTCTGATATGGGTGATGCTCCTGCTATTCTCTGAACCAAAACAATCAACTACTTACTAATTCATTACAATTTCTCAACTAGAAAGACCTTGAAGACCACTCAGTCCAATCTTTTTCAGGTAAAGAAAATGAAATCCAGGGGCGCCTGGGTGGCGCAGTCGGTTAAGCGTCCGACTTCAGCCAGGTCACGATCTCGCGGTCTGTGAGTTCGAGCCCCGCGTCAGGCTCTGGGCTGATGGCTCAGAGCCTGGAGCCTGTTTCCGATTCTGTGTCTCCCTCTCTCTCTGCCCCTCCCCCGTTCATGCTCTGTCTCTCTCTGTCCCAAAAATAAATAAATGTTGAAAAAAAAAATTTAAAAAAAAAAAAGAAAGAAAATGAAATCCAGCAGTGATATGTTAAAAATCAGTCAGTGACAGACTCACACTCATAACCAAGTATCTGGATTCCTATCTGGCAGTACAAAACTCTGAACTTTGGGGAAGCAGAGGAAGAATACTCATAAACAAGCACCAAATCAAATATAAAGATTTTATAGAAAATGGGAAAACATAATCAAAATGATCTTTGTTGATGTTTATATTTTTGGTAAATGTGCTTTAAACAACAGAGTTCTAGGGTTTTTTAGCATAATAATGTCAGGCTGATGGAGCCCAAAGCCCCCCAAATCAAGGCTTAATCATTATAAGCTGTATGCCCTTGGGCACAATACTAAGGATCTCTAATCTTCAATTTCCCCATCTGTGAAAAGAGTTTAACAACCACCACCATCTCAAAGGATCAATGAAAGATTAACCAAAATAATTATATACAAAGAGACTAGCACAATTACTGGCACAAAGGAAGTCCTCGTATGTTACCTGTTATCCAACATTATCATTGCTATTTATATTAACAGGTTACTTGTATCATTTTATATTAACTGGTTGTTTATACCCTAGGATTATTAATAACTATATGTTATATATCTTACTTGTCCAATCCAGCACATTAAGTAAGATGGATCAAGGGACTGAGCCATTTTGAAAGCTTCATGAGCTTGCTAGGAAAAAAAAAGGCAAAAATTAACATGTCATGTCATTTTATTAATTTAGTATTAAATTGCTTATGTTTAAAAAGCATAAGAGAAGAAGATAAGTCAGACTTGTCAACATAAATACTTACAAGTCCAAAACTTCATTGTTTAAACACAATTAGCAACGCTTAAAACAGTGTTTTAACTACATAGTCCTAGAAAACTCCTGGGTACAACAGCTCTCTCTACAGGCTTAAGGGTTTTGGTCCCCAGTGAAAGGGCAATAGGGATGCACCTCATAGTCTGTAGAACTTTTAACCAATCACCCACGCGTTTGCTAGCCACGAGTTTGACAGAAGTATCTATTGCCCTCTCCTGAAGCTTAATTGGCCTGATAAGAACTAATGGCAAGGAGGTCAAAGAGACGTACCTGAAACTTGGCAAAAAAAGAATGGACAGCATAAATATGTGCTAAGCAGTGAGGAAACCTTAAAGATACCTCACTTGGACACATTAAATTGCATGTTTATTTTTCTACTACAAAAACTTATTATATGCTGCCTTATACTGTTTTCTCAAAAATCAATGTGTGACAGGAAACAGTCTTATTATTCTTATGAAAACAACAACTCCTGGACAGCAACTGAGTTGTACTATCATAAAACTACATTCAGAGTTTTTTAACTGAGATCTAGCTATGTTTAAATTTTTAAAAATATTTTCACATATCTTAAGATCTAACTTAATATTCTCCTTCATTCTATTTACAGGCTTTTGAAGCAATCTTGGCAATGACTTACTTTATCCCTGAGAGTATTACTGAAACTATTTTAAAAGGATGATATTCAGTATAACGGCTGAAACACAAAATAGTACGGATGTTCTATTATCTATAGATTTATGGAAACTACTAAACATGACCTACAAGCATGCTTCCAATTACTTACTATATTTCTAATTCTCCAATATATAACTGTTCAAGTATGACAAATTACATTGTGGCATATAAAAGAATTAATATCCACTAAAGCCAAATCTAAATCACCCAACATAGGCTAAACTTAATCTGCTAGACATTACTAATCACCTCTTTTACTTCATCACCCCACCCCTAACACAGCCCACACAGGACTCTTCTTATACATGTACAGATAAAAAGAAAAACACCCCAATAAACCATAACAAAATTGTTCTAATCTTTAAATGAAAAACATTATTATAAATCCAAAATTTCTTCAGTGATATGAAAAGGAAAATAAATCTTACACGTTCATTATTTAATATAACAAATGGAATGCCATCAATTATCTAGCATATAGGTGAGCATACTGAATAGGCAACAATATTCAAAGTACTTCTCCACAAGAAGCTAAGCTATTACAAAGAAGTAATATTCATATATAAAAAATTCATATATAAAGCTATTACAAAGAGGTAACATTCATATATAAAGAATGTTCTTTAACATGACAAAACAGACAACACATTTACCTCAATGTTTTCATTTGCAAGGTATAAGACTCCCAAGTTGGTCCATGCAACAGGATTCTAAAAGATGTATATATAAAATTAGGTCCCTGTCTACATGGCAGCCTGAGAAAGTTATTAACATGAAATTTTGAAGTTCTTTTTCACAGACAGACACATAAAACACTCACAATTTGTTCTGATTGGATTGACTTGATGAAACAATGCTGAGCAAGGGCGTAGTTTCCAATACCTAAAAAATACAGTTTGATGAAACTGAACTTTATTACCTGAAACAGGCAATCTTCTAATAATATTGAAGTGTTATGCAATTCTTACCACTGTAACATGAAACCACGCCAAGAGCATTCCAGTATAAATGGTTTTTACTGTCGAGTCTCACCGCCTTTTTCAGACACTGAAAAAGTAAAATTAGATTAATTTTGGTATCTTGGAACATCAGTATTTATATCAAGATAAACGTGCTTTTATGTAAAAACATGATAGCATTTATCAAAAACATCAGAAAAGCATTTCTTTGTTTAAAAAGGTTATAAAAAATTTCTCAAAACCCCACCTGTAAAGATTTCTCCAACAACTCTTTAAGATCATTTGTGTTGTTGCCTGTTTCTGCTAGATGTTGTGCTTGACGGTAATAATTAATTCCGAGATCACACCATGTATTAGATGTGGACATCAGTTTTAATGCACGACCATAACACCTGTGGAAATATAAAAATAAATGTTGTGTTCTGTTAAAATGTCCTAATTCAAAGTAAATGTCATTAACTAGCAAACTCTGTAAATTACCTTCCTCCAAGATGGAGGAGCTCATTCTTCTTTAATACTTGTTTTCCTTCTTTCTGACCTAGGAGGACTCCTAAAACATTAACATTTACTTTAGATGGTGAGACAGCGTACAGACTGGTACAAGCATCCCCAACTAGCTTCCAGAGGCAAGACACATCAGCTCGATGCTGCAGAGCCCTAAAAAAATAAACAGTGTTTATTTTATTTTTATACTTACAAGTTATTTCCAAAAACTAGGAAGTTTATCTGTCTCATTACAATCTTGATTAAGAATTACTTCCTTGGTTAAGTGCAGTGAATGCTTTACTAAATTCTTTCCAAATAAGTTACATGTTATCACTCCCTTATTAGGAAGAAGAAAGGAAGGCGGGAAGGGGAAAGAAGTGATTATTTCGAATGCCAGAAATTTTGCAAACACCTCTTTGGTACTCTTCTTCATTTTTATTAGAAGTAGCAGAAATCACATAAATAAACCAATACATTTTCCAGGACCAATTCACCTTTAACTGAATTTTTTTGAACTGTGCTGTCTGTGTTTGTCTTTTAAACAGTAACCAAAGTAGTAAAGTTGGTAGCTCTCTCTCAGTTAATTATTGTAAACTCACGTTTTTGCTTGTTGGTCTTTGGTCAAATAAAAATGACTAGTAAATGTGTGCTATATTAAATATATTTGGTGGTCCAAAGGATTTTTACTAAGACTAAGATTACCAAAAAGCTAAATATGAAAATGTGAAAACTCATGATTTATTGAAGAAATATGACTGAATGCACAAGCTTAAAAGAGTAAATAAAAATATTAATTATGGTGATAAAGGTCACCTCTTCTTAAAATGAGAAAAATCTCACTATTTCTCTTCATTTTTCTCTTCTCAAGATCTTATAAATAAAACATGACAATTTCACTTAAGCCAAGTCTCAATAATCAGCCATCACAAACAGCTATGTTACTGGCAGATGGACAAGCAGATGGAACATTTCTCATAGCCTTTTCTACTAAAAGAGTCCAGCCAAAAATCATTTTCCAGTATCTTTCTGAGAGATAAGATTAATTATTGCAGTCATCACTGAGAGCCCACTGTGAGAATCAGGAGGAAGGACAACACTATTTGTAGTTCCTCTGCTTAAATATCTTAGCATAACTTCTAAAAATGACAGCATGAGAGGATAATGCTAAGCGAAATAAGTCAGTTGGAGAAAGGCAAATACCATACGATCTCACTCATATGTGAAATTTAAGAAACAAAACAAACGAGCAAAGGAAAAATAAAAGGAAAAAAGAGACACAAACCAAGAAACAAGAAACAGACTCTTAACTGTACAGAACACACAATGGTTACCAGAGGGGAGGAGGGGAGGAGATGAGGGGGAAAAGAGAATGGGAGATGGGAGTTAAACAGTACACTTGTTGTGATGAAAAGAGTAAAATAAGACAAAATAAGACAAAATAAAAGTGAATAAAATCTACAACATGAAGAAGAAAATAGAAGGAGAAAAGGGAAACAGAGGCCATTTTAATAGCCTAAACTCTTTCAATAAAAAAATAAAGTATCTGTAAGGTGAAATAACTTCTATCACCTTTACACAAGAATTGTGGTAGTACGAACTTTTACATCCAGAAGTAAATATAAATTTGGGGATTATCACTTTAAGAGTTTTATATATCTCCATATTATTGGCTGTGAATGCTACAAGCTATGGGCTACCCAGAACAAAATTTCCCATTCTCAGAAAGGCAGTTTTTGTATCTCAAGTATCATCGAAGGTTCACAATTACTCTTAAATACTAGTTCAAACAAAGCATGCCCTGTTCACAATACCCTTTCCTCTTTGGAAAGATCTATATAATGTGAGACTTGAAAAGCAGCAATAAAAACCTGTGGGAGAAAAAAGGCTAAGGTTTTCTTTTCATATTTGGTTCATATTCTGGAGCAACTAAATCAACAGGAAACAGAAGAGAAGACAAGTCAGAAAAGAAAGGAAGGGAAGCACAAGAAAGGTGTTTAAGAAAAAAAAATTTCAAACGTATGTGCAACATGTGGACTTCTTAAAATCATCTACCACAAATAGCACTTCTACTTAGCTGGCGAATTTACAGTTCGATAAAAATACCAGCTTTACTCAAATTTTTCTGATTCCCTTAATATTATACATCACTTTTTTTTTACTACACAGATTCTCTCCAGGAGCAGATTGCTCGTTTCCCCTCACCTTCAACCCTACCAATATACCTAGAAGCGGCCCTTACCATTGAATATAATTCATACTGTTCACCTCAAGTCCTAGTTCCCAATCAGTTCAATTGGAAGTACTGGCATTTCTAGGTCTCCTGCAAGGGAACACTGATGCACAGTATTCAAGCTGCTGCTCCTCTAGCAGAATGCTTCTTTCTTCCCACCCTTCCTTATGCAGCCAGCAGGTCAACAAGAGCAAGAAACTGTATCTGTTCCCCAGTGCCACGTTAATACAATATGTGTGCTATAGAATTCATTGGCTACTCCGTTACTCTTTATGTTTAATATTCTGAGTACTGATTGCTGTATCTCACAGAAAAAATACAGAAAGATTTTCTAAATTTGGCTTTAAGATAATGCTAAGAAAATAAACACAATGAATAATAAGAATAACACTAACCAAGTAAAATATTCCAGTGCTTTTTCTATGTGGTCCACAGCTTTCCCATCAAGATAATCCACTAGAGCTGCTTTTGCCATCATAAGATGGCATTCGCCCAAACCTAAAACCAGTTAGTTTATAGTTATTAAAACACATACAGAAACACTTAGAATAAACTTTAAAAAATGTAGCGGTGTTATTTTAAAGCCACTTTTCAGAAAACAAAACTTAACGGTATTTTGTAAAAATTATCTTTAAGTATGGTCTCGCATACACTTAGTACTGTTGCAGTAACATGTGCTAGAAGTGATAAAAATCTATAGAAAGAATTTCCTTGACTTTGGGCAGATTACTTAACTCTTAAAACCTCAGCCTTGAAAATGGTGATATTACCTAAATGCTATTCTCCATCATATTACTATTTATTAACTGTTGTGAAGCAAGATTTCATCTTTTTATATTCAAAACTAGATAGCAAACTACACAGTAAAAATGTAATAAATGAAACAGCAATTTCCTAAAGTACCCAGTAAAGATTTAATAAACGTGAATTCTTTTGAGGAAAGTTTTACAAAATTAAAACAAAAGTTTTCAAGGCCTAAGTTATGCATTGCTTACAATATACACTATTTCTAATTTTTTTTTTTTAACGTTTATTTATTTTTGAGACAGAGACAGAGCATGAACGGAGGGGGGGGGGGGGCAGAGAGAGAGGGAGACACAGAATCTGAAACAGGCTCCAGGCTCTGAGCTGTCAGCACAGAGCCCGACGCGGGGCTTGAACCCACGGACCGTGAGATCATGACCTGAGCGGAAGTCGGACGCTCAACCGACCAAGCCACCCAGACGCCCCCACTATTTCTGATTTAAACCGCAGTTGTTTAGTTAAAAAGTAAAAAGAAATGGAGTAAAAGACATATTAATGGGCTCCAAGTTTTTTTAAATGGTTAGATATAATCATAAAAAATTTGGATTATATATGGATGGTGTTTTACTTTGTACTACCAAAAATCATTTGTTAAGGAGTAGGTATCTATGGAGAAACTTAAATTAATTTAGGTAATTACAAAACAATGTAAGTTGCCCTTAAAGTTCAAAAAGTGAAAAAAAAATCTTCTGTAAGTTAAAAAGCAATTAAAAGGTATTGAGATATTTTGAAGATATGGTAAATTAATTACCAAAATATAACAGGAGGAAAACTCTTGTTTTAGAGATCCATTTTTAGATCAAATAGCTATCATGCTGTTTGTCTAAAAATTAAATCTTTATCATACTACTATTGATTAACTGTTAGGAAATAAGATTTGATCTCTCTATATTCAAATCTATATAACAAGCCATATTATAAGAGGTTCATGAAAGAAGCCACTGTTGACTAAAGAAGTCCTTTTCAGGTTATGAAATACATTTAGGAAATTTACACAAGGATTTTATACTCTAGTATCACAAAAGTCAAAGGAGCTATGAAAAAATTACCTTTCAAAGCTGGCACATAATCTTCTTTCTTTTTAATGATCAGCTGGTATTGAGCTATCGCCTCCTTATATTTGCCTAGGATTTGCTGTATTGCTGCAACCTTAAACACACTGTATGTGGATTCTGGGTTCAGCTCACTGGCTTTTGTGAAGGATTTCAAGGCTGTGGTATAGCCACCTCTGCTTAAGTATGCCTCTCCTAATGACTCCCAACAATTGAAGTCCTTTGGGTCTGCCCTTAATGCTGCCTGTAAACTAAAATTTCAGTAAACCGTAAGACAACTAAATGTAAAAGAACTACTTCCACATTTGACAAGAAAATATAAAATAAAGAATTCAGTTGAATCACATACAACCATGGTTACTTCTATTTATCAAAGTGCTATTTAAAGCAGGTATACCTGTTCCTTTTATAACTTGAATTTTTTTATAACTTTCATATTTTAATACTAAGAAATTTTATTACAAATTTGGAATGAATAAGAATACTTTCTTGCACAAGAGCTGACCAGAATTTTTTTCCTTGACTATCTGAAAGAATCCCAGTTTCCTACCAGAATAGGTATATATCTCAGTATGCCTCATGACAATTAGTAATCTCCCACTGATCCTGTTACCAAAACAGAAATATCACAGCAGCCTAGGTATTTACATAAATCAGAAACTTTATCTTGATCCAAATATATATATATATATATTTGTTAATGTTTTCACAAATAGAAGAAAAAAATAACTGTTTACAACAATTTGTTAGGTTCAGAAAAAAGGCACTTTATAATCCTTTCTAAAAAGAAAACATACAAGGCTTATAGTTAATTGTGGGCATTCACGTTTAAGTATTCATTTTAAGTTTTGGGGGTGACTGTAGTAATAAACAAATTTTATCACTTGTAGTATAACCAAAAAAACTTATATAAAGGCTTAGGTCTTATAAACCTAATTAAGTTGATAGATATTATAATCTCATTACTAGGAAATGCCAATGCTCTGTTACACTTCCTTATAAACAGAAAGTCTTGCCTTTTTCATTTTTTTTTTTGAACTGAAGTACAGTTGACATACAATATTATATTAGTTTTGGGTGTACAACATACTGATTTGAATTTTACAGACACTATGAAATATTCACCATGGTAAGTGTAATTACCATTTGTCATCATACAAAGTTATTACAATATTATATATTTACAATTAATTAAATACATTTTATTCTTTTTCTTTTTTTTTTTTAAGGTAAACTCTGTGCCTAACGTGGGGCTTCAGCTCACAACCCTGAGATCAAGAGTTGCATGCTCTACCATCTGAGGCAACCAGGTATAATTCAAACCAAATAACTGAAAATGAGCTGCTCCAGATGGACTTCAAGGTGTCAAATGTATCCCCTGCCCCCAGGGGATACAAAGCATGTCACTGGAAGAACAACAAAGGTATCAGCCTTGGCTTTTTATCATTCCTTAAGTTTCCACTGAGAACCTATTACATGTATAACACTAGGAAGACTTCACTTCATTAGACTGGCTATTCCCTTAACAACAGGACATCATTTAATCTATTTTTGCATTCTCCAGTGCCTTGCAGATAATAAGAACCAATCAACTATAAATAAATTTTGCTATTTCTTCTCTCAAAATATAATCTGGAATGAGGAAACTTGTCAAGTCCATTTTGGGTATAAACAGGAGTTTAATTTAAGGAACCAACAGGCTGTCTAACAGTTTAAATATAATAAGGCGCCTTACTCAGCCACTGCTTGAGAATGCTGACCAGCTTTCAAATAGTACAGTCCGCGCCTCAGCCAGGCCCATTTTGCTGTTCCAGCACTTGCCTTTTGAGTTACTGTTGTTAGGATGGCTAAGGCAGTTTCCTTAAAAAAGGAAGAAAAGACTGATTAAGAAAGACTAACATTAGAGATAGTGAATATCATGAAAGTACAGACCACCTATGTATAGTACCCAAATATATTTTCATTTACCACTTTTGATTCTTTAAACTTATACTAGTTTATTCTGAACTACAGTTTCAACAATAAGTGAGGAGTGATGTAATGTCTGTCAATGAAAAGTTTCTCCATAAACAGTGGCAAAAATATTTCTATTGTATCTCCAAAGAAAAATTTAAAGAAATAATAACTTCCAAGTATACATATATAAAAATATTTCTATTTCTATACTCAGGATAAAAAGAAAAATATTTAAGTTATTAGACATACCATTTCTTCAAGCTCCACACTTAAGTCAACTGCTGCAGCTCCAGATTCAGCATCAGTATCATCTAATTCAAACGCTTTCCTGTAACAGCCACGGGCTCTGTTTTTATCTCCTACCACATCTCTGTAGTAATGACCTAAATAGCAGAAAACTTTGCCCATGTATGTATCCAGTCTGGCAGCCTTTGAAACAGAGATGGATAGCAACACAAAATTAAAGTTTGTTTGAGTGGGTCTCTTTAAAAACACAAAAGATAAATACACAGATTAAAAGAAAAATGGAACACTTTCATTAAACATAGAAAAAGATGCCAACACGTCCTTTAATGTAAGATTTAAAGCAACAGGAAACCTAGTCATCACTGCTTATAAAAAACAAGTGCAAAAATATTATTTCTTTATTAAAAAGAAATGTGAAATTAGAGTTATTATTATATTCACCCTCTTTTATGCATCAAGGTAAGAATGTGACACTGGTACTTGTTAAACATTTTAAATATGAGAAATTATACATCTGGAAGTATACATGGCCATAAAACTACAGTAGAAATTACTTAAAAACAATATTCTTTTCCAAAGATAATTATGTCTCATTTTGTATAATGTCTGTTTCTTACATAAGTAACTTTTAGGGGTGCCTGGATGGCTCAGTCAGTTAGGTAGCCGACTCTTGATTTTGACTCAGGTCATGATCTCATGGTTGTGGGATCAAGCCCCACATTCTTTGTGCTAAGCATGAAGCCAGCCTGGGATTCTCTCTCTCTTCCTCTCTCTCTGCCCTTCCCCGGTTGTGCTTGCTCAAGTGCTCACTCGCTCTCTCACACTCTCTCTCTCTCAAAATAAACTCTAAAATGTAAAAAGTTAGATAAGTATCTTTTATATTTTTATTTTCTCCTTACCCATATAACATTCTCACAAAACTTTATGTGACAGAGATCAAACACCAAAAACTTCAGTTTAAAAAAAAAAGCAATTCAACAAACAGTAATTTTAAGTACCTAACTTATAAGATTATTATTTATGATTTTACAATGAATCCATTTCAACTAAGAATTAAATAGTAGTACATGTTTTACCTTTAGAAAGTGAGTAAGAGCCTTTGTTTTATCTTTTCTTGTTTCTTCACCCATGAACCAATATGTTAACCCAAGTTGGTAATGATATTCAGCAACTTCAGCATCTTTCTCAAGAGCTCTCTGGAAACTAAGTCACCAAAGGGAAGTAAAAAGATATGCATACACACAATGTAGGAAACTGTGTTGGGACAAAGTTTGAGTGATTCAAAGATGCTAAACCAGAAACAAGTTATTACTTTATAATTGAGATTATAATGAGAGAGGAAATTATTTGAAAAGGAGTTTATAAAAGCACATGGCCTTTCAGCTTAACCAATGTGCTAAGTGTTTAGGAGCACACACCAAACATTATATATGCTCACTGACCATTATGATCAGCTAGTCAGAATTCAAATCCATCTCACAGAATTTTCTCACAGGTACTGCGCTACATGCTAAATACATTTCTTAAAAATATTCACGCATACACAGATCAAATTTATACACAATGGACCTGTATCAAATCCACACATTTTGAATTTTTGAGAAATATAATAAATTAAGATATGACTAGATCTATGAGCAATCTAGATGTATTTTTACCATTTCTCTGCTTGTGGATAGTCCTTTTTGGTAAAATGAATCAAAGCCTCCAGGGCATGAACTTCAGCTAGGTCAGGGTAAGAAGAGAGAAGGTCTTCCATAATCTACAAAGTAGATATCTGTCAATTCCTTATTCAAATAAAGTAACTTGTAACTTAAAAAAATTCCCCCTTTGAATGGAAAAAACCAACCTTTGAAGCTTCATCTAATGAGCCTTTATTCAGATAGGCCAAGCTTTTAAGAACCAAAAGTCCTGGGATATTATTTGCATCAGAAACCTAGAAAATGATTGTAAAGAACTGCTGTTAAGTCTCTTTCAACACAGATCATCAATATTTGCTTTAATTAAAGAATAACCATAGAAGAGCACAAAATAAAGACATAGTGATTTCTATCAGTATGAACACATTCATTTTTATAACTTTTTATTAGAGAAAATTGCAAATGCATTTCAAAAAATTAGAAAATAGTATAATAATTCCACATACTCATTATCTACCTTCAAAATTAACTCAAATCCAATCTTTTCTCATCCATATCTACACTCAATTCACTACACACCTGCTTAGATCATCCCAGATAACTTCTCATCAATGCTTTAGTACGAATATCTAAAAACTAAGTTCATTGTTATATAACACAATCATACTACCATTATAAACACCTAGACAAAACCAACAATACATCCTTAGTATCATCAAAAAAATTAGCGAGTGTTCAAATTTCTCAGTTGGCTCAGAAAATATTTGAATAATCCATTTGTTTTAATCAAATCCGAATAAGGTACATACATTTCAAAAGGCTGGTATGTCTATTAAGTCTCTTTTAATCTATAGGGCTCCCTTCCAGTCTTTTTTCCTCCCTCACAATTTAATTGTTGAAAAATATGGGCCAATTGTCACAGTTTTCACACAGTCTGGATTTTACCGAATGCAGTCTCATGGTCCTGACATGTTCCTTGGTCCCCTATATCTTCTGTAAATTAGTAGTTAGGCCTGAAAGCTTAATCTGATTCCAGTTTAATGCTTTGGCAAGACTACATCATGTGTACATGCACTTGTTACGTATGGTACTTTCTTTTGGTAATGTTAGCAACCACTGATCCTCAATGCCTTAGATCAGATTGTAAAATGGCGGTTTTCCTTATTCAATGGAATACTTCAACAACAACAAAATTTCCCTCCCCTCATTATCTATTTGATTATCCTGAGGAACAGTTCATAAAGGAAAGGTAAGATACTTTCATTCTTTCCAAATGGTTCCTCAGCACCCTCCAAAGATTTTTTTTTTTTATTGAGAATGTTTTATTTTTTTTCAGCACCCTCCAAAGATTTTTTTTTTATTGAGAATGTTTTATTTTTTTTCATCTTGAATACATGGATTTAAGCATATTTGGTATTTTTCAATCTACTGCAGTTACTGGTGCTCAAACTCCCCTTTAGCCAGTGACAATCAACCCATGACAGTTCCTAAGCCTTTCTAACATAATTCTAGTAGCCTTATATAGTTTCCTTGCTTTCTAGCATTCTAAGATGTTCTGGGCTCATCCTATACATCTTCTGTTTCATACCTGGACTTCACCAGCTCTCTAAGAAACTTTGTGTGTGTGTGTGTGTGTGTGTGTGTGTGTGTGTGTGTGGCAGGGGAAAGATTGGAAAGACCTCAAAGCATTTAAAAAACACACTATTGGTAGAAGGCAAGTAGAAAATAAGAAATTAACATATTAGTTATTGAAGGATGCAAACAACTGTTCTAATTTTAATGAAATGTAAAGCCCTTTGAAATATATCAAACAATGATATTTTAAAAATTCAAAATCCTACAATACACTGGGTAATAGAATTTTAATTTTGGATAAAAAATAGCCTTTATCTGAAAAAACTGTTTAAAAATACCATGTTGTTATAATTCATAATTTATAGTTTTTTTTGACACAGAATTTCTAAATGCTTGAATTAAAAACATTAAGAAATAGGATTCCTTCTTAAATATCATTCTCCTTCTATTTTATTAAATTGAAAAACAAATAAATAATATTGTCTACTATGAAACTACTTGAGTCCTTAACTGTTCTTGTCAATAATCTATGAAATCTTTTCTGGAGGCAAAAATTTAGAGTCCCAAATTAAAAATAATCAAGTCGTAATAACTTAAGGCAAAAAGAGAAAAGGAGAATAAGAACAATACTAAAGAAAGAAATCACACCTATGAAAAACATTGTAAGTAGTTAACCAAGAGGCAAACAAATAACTTTGGAAGTTTCCAAGTGTGTGATCTGGAAAAGGCAGATGTGGTGAATTCATACCTCGAACACAAAATTTATTTAAGTAAGTATTTGTGGAAGGAGGGAGTGTTTGGTGCCCGGTTGACTGGAAAAAATAAAGTTGAAGGGAAAAACCTGATGATAAGACTACCTGATCAAGAGTACAGATTGCTTCCACTGAAGATTCATAATCTGAGAGTTTAATCAAAGCCTCTGCTTTCAAACGGAGACAAAGATTCTTCTGATGAAGACTGCCACCAGATACACCAAGATTATCTATGTTCTTCAGAGCTGACAAAATTAAGGACATCTGAATGAAGACAACCGTGTTACTTCACTTATTTCTTCTTGTTAAGGGTAAAAAATAATAAATTGGAGATACAGTAAGAATAAATTGCCAAAATAATATACATGAAGAATAATTCCGAGCTAAAGATAGATTCTTCCCTGAATTCTTTAAGGAAATATCTGAATTTAAAACAGAACACACCTGAATTTAAAATCTCTATCTTTACATAACATATAATAAAAGTGAACATCCTGAAACACAATGGGTATCTATATCTGTATCTGCTACATAACAAAAGTTAGCCAAACCATTGGTAACAAACTTAGCAAATTAGGAACACCGGAAGGGGAAAGAAGCTGGATTCAAAAGGACCAGGGTGAACTGTGTCTCAACTACAGAAGGTAGGCCACCAGCTGTGTCAAGAGCAGTGAATCACTTTTTATGATCTCCTATCCCTCGCCTGACCCATCTGACCACATTCAAATAGGCTCCAAAATGCCTAAGACTGCTCTTATCTACATGAGAGGAATCCAAAACTCCTGAAGTCCTGGATGCACCAGAAACTTCCTTATTACAAAGACAGACCACCTCCACACAAGCCTAAACTGACTATGTCAAAATTCCAAGGAATCCTTTGAAAAATACTCATGGTTAGTTTAAAAGTAAATACACACTAGGCATTATTTAACCATCTCAATGAAATTTAAATTAGTGAGTAACTTAAAATACAAAATAAAGCATGTGAGTTTTTTTAAACGACCAACTTTCTCCTTTAACATGAAAAGAAACAGAGTTGGCCACCAATGCAGATATCAGGAATACCTTGACTGCATGAAAGAACAGCTTCCTTAGGTCTATGCATTTTAACTTGGGCTTCGGCCAGATGATACCACCCCGTTGTGCAAAGAGGGCTTTCCTTTAACCCTAAAAGGAAAAAAGCAATCACAAAATCCAAACTTACTATGACCAATGAGGTGAATGGCACCGCCATCTACTCCCCCAAATCAGATCCCTCCCCTCTCCCTTGTCTCTCATACATGATCATTCCCTACATTGATTCCACACTCCAATCCATTTCTCTACCATCGCTTCTTCACTTCACATCTCCACCATCTTTATCCCAGATCCCTGCAAGTGCTTGCCACCCATTCCAATTCATTCTTTACACTGCAGCCAGAATGTCTCTAAAAATACAAATGGAATTATAAAACTCCTCTGCTCAAAACATTCCACAGGTTCCTGGCTGCCCTTAACATGCAAACTCTTTCACGAGGTGTGCAGGGCCCCTCTCCAGTATCATTTCTTAACTCTTCCTGTTCCCATACATCCTTGTCACATCTTGCTGAACCACCTTGAATTCCAGCTGTGCTCTCCTCTCAGGCTGTTTCAGCTCTTGGCTTGAAAAGCTCCTCCCACCCCAAGCCTACATTTGTCTTTCAGATCTCTACTTGAATGTAAGTCTATCCAATGTGACAAATGTTAAAACTAAGTTAAAGTTTCCTGGCAAAACTAAGTTAAAGATTCCTAAGGGCGGCAGCAGGGTGAAAACATATATAATTATCCTTATTTTACAAATGAGACACAGATAATTTAATTAGTTTTCTCATGGTCTGGGAATTAGTGAGTGACAGTTTTGGAATTCAGACCTAAGCAGATCCAGAATGTATAAGCATATTTCTTCCACTTCTATCTTAAATATATGTTCCTTTTTGTTTTTAATGTTTTTGTTTATTTATTTTGAGAGAGAGAGAGAGAGAGAGAGCATGCAGGGGAGAGGCAGAGAGAGAGGGAGAGAGAATCCTAAGCAGGCTCTGTGTTGTCAGTGCAGAGGTCGACAAAAGGCTTGATCTCAGGAACCATGAGATCATGACCTGAGCCAAGATCAAGGGTCAAATGCTTAACTGACTGAGCCATCTAGATGCCCCTTAAATATACACTCCTTAAGGAAAGGCCCAAAGATAACCACCTACTGACTATGTTAGCTAGGATGCAAGGCGGAGTTACTTATATCAGAGGGCTGAAAACTATCAGCAGAAGAGAGGAGGGGAAGGGACAAAATCAGGGATGGAATGTGTTTTGTTTTGCAGAACCAGTGGTTCCTACCTACCCAGGAGTCTGCTAGGTGTTTTACCTGACAGCCTATGGCATGAGCCAGTCTGAGCAGATATGGAGCTGTGGACCTGTACCAAAGCCCACCTGAGTGATCCTGAAGTTACCTTGAGCTCATTGTAATACTAAGATTTTTTTCCTCGAATGGGATTTCCTGCCATTTTTTGAACATACAATGTGTGTACTAGCATGCTGATATACTGAGCATGCACACCGCGACCAAAGTGCCTAAGTAACAGCATATGGATTCATTATATTTGAAAATGAAGCATGGGAGCTAGCAAAGTATGAAGGAAGGGGCAAGAAATCAGACTCGAGAAGGTTGCAAACCCTGTGAAGAAGTTTGGATGTTATCCTAAGGGCAGTCAGAAACCCATGAAAAGCTTTAAGTTGGGGAAGAGAATATGTGTACATTAAATTAATGTCTACACCAGCTCTCTGCCCCTGCCCAATACACTGAATAAACACGTTCTGTACAAACCCCATGGGGAGACACCGCCTTGAAAGCTATCTCCCTGTCTCCTTACTGTGATAAGTAATAAAAGTTCTTTGCTTTCAACACTTCCTTGGGTTGTGTTCAATTTAAAGCACCCCAAACAGTGAGACCCTTGAGTTTGGTTACAGCTACACCTCATGTTACATGCTCTATGCTGTACACTTGCCTTCAGTTAGGTTCCTAACAGCATCTTCATACTTTCTGTCTTGTAATGCTTTAATCCCCAAACCAATGAAGCCTGGACCACTTTTTGAATCCATTTCCACTAGTCTGCGACAATACTGCTGTCCTTCATCAGTAAGACTGCCTGGAATTAAAAGGGAAAAATGATTAGCATACATACTCCAAACTTTTTAAAAAAGTTTAATGTTTATTTATTTTTGAGAGAGACACAGAGCCTGAGTTGGGGAGGGGCAGAGAGGGAGGGAGACACTGAATCCACAGCAGGCTCCAGGCTCCAAGCCATCAGCACAGAGCCTGACATGCGACTTAAACTCACAGACTGCGAGATCATGACTTGAGCCAAAGTGGGGTGCTTAACTGACTGAGCCACCCAGGGGCTCTAATACTTCAAATTTCTAATTGCCAAAGCATACATACTTAAATCTCAAATACCATTTTACATATCTTTCACCATATCAATTCCAGGAATTCAAAACTTAAATAGACCAACAAACACCAAAAATTTTAACATTTCATTAAAAACTTATGCTCTTCATCTTAAATTTTGGAAGTAGAAACCACTTTACCCACTGCAGTATGGGTAAACTGAACCTGTAGTCATACTCAAGGTTTCAAACAGGAAACCTACCGCTACTTGCCATTAGGCTAAGACACACAGCCTCCTGCTTGCCAGCTCTCCTTTTGCTGTTCAGCACTAACAATTTCGGTTGTTAAATGAAGGAATCCCTAAGGACAGTGTCTTCACCAGTCTCTCTCCCTGGGCAACCATGTGCTGCTAGAGATGTGACAGCCACGATGCCCTATCTAGTGTTCTTCCAGAATCTGGGATTAAAAGACAGTCTTCTTGTCAAGACACTATACAAAAACTTAATCACATTTTTCTTAAGTCTACAAGTCCAGTAGCACCTTTCTGCATTCTTTCAAACATTTTATTTTCCTATATACGTTAATGGTTAAGCTTATGTAACAATCATGTAATGCCTATATTTATTTCAAATTTATTCTGGTAAAATAGTTTAGAAAATATTATTTATTTTGTTTTATTTCCATTTTCTCCAACCTCAATCTCTGGATTTCCATTCCCAGAAAAGCATAAAAACATGTGGAAAATGTGACTTCTGCTTGAGAATAAACTGTGCATAGTATTCACCACTTTGATAAATTGTTTAATCACACAGGAAAATTCTTAAAAACTAATTACAACAAACTACAACCTGAAGAATAAATATTAAACTAATTTATTTGAAACAATTAAATTAAACTAATTTATTTGAAAAAGCAGCCTGATGCTTTTTTTTGAAATCTATTTAAAACACATACCTCCAGGTGGAGCCACCCTTTCAGTCACAGATGTCAAAGATAAATTCTTTGCATGTTACCATTTAGGTTATCTGTTTCAAATTTTTCAAAACCAGATACACACCAATATAGAATCCATGATATTATATATTGATTTAGCAGTCCAAGTTAGTAAAAAAAATTCATAACAGCTAAAGATTTAAAACTTCAGTATTGTTTGGTGAGATATGAAAGCAAATTGGAAGAAATACTACTTTTGTTAGCTTGTAAAAAAAGACCTGAGCCAGCTATTATTACTCTTCTAGATATGAATTTTCTTTTCCCAATGTGTTCTCACTATTGCTTCCATAAATGTTAATTTCCAAAAACAGACATGCCTCATTCCATATACCCTATTCCTCTCAAGCACACCAGTGGGGTATTTTTTTCCCTTTTTCAAGCAGAGATATTGTCTAAACTGGACATCAGAATCACCCAAAAGACTTGTTAAAACACAGAATGATGGGGCGCCTGGGTGGCTCAGTCGGTTAAGCGTCCGAC